GAGAGAGAGAGAGAGAGAGAGAGAGAGAGAGAGAGAGAGAGAGAGAGGTATGTTTCACAAGGCATCAACTATCTCTTCCACTATGGAGCCTCCTATATGACTGAGGAAATCAGGAGGCTCTTTCATTTTACCTCTGCCCTTGAGATCAGATACTGTGATGGTTCTCTCTCTGTGTCTCTGCCTCTGTCTCTCTCTGTCTGTCTCTCTCTGTCTTTCTCTATCTCTGTATCTCTGTCTCCCTCTCTCCCTGTTTCCCTGTGTCTCTGTCTCTCTCTGTCTCTGTTCCTGTTTCACTGTCTCTGTCTCTCTCTCTGTCTCTCTCCTTCTCTGTCTCTCTCTGTCTCTGTCTCTCTCTCTCTCAACTAGAACATCCCAAAGCCTATGGGAATAGCACTGGTGCTTTCATTGTGTTTTGGACAATCCTCTTCTTCCTTCTTCTGGAGCTGTGGTCCATCAGACCACATTTTCCTCCTCACCTTCACTCTTTGTGGGGCAAGAGTCCAGCAAGAGCCTCTGCTTAAAGACCTCTAATGGGGGGAACCCACCACCTCCTGAGATAGCCCACTCTGCTTCTAGATGGCTTGAATTGTTAGGTAGTTTCTCTGCTATCAAACCAACATTAGTCTCATCTACATTTCCACTTGTTTCCTTCGGTTTTCCCTTCTGGGACAAAACCAAAATTTAATCCTTCTTCCAAATAACAACTTTTGAAATACTTAAAGAAAGCTATCCCTTTCCACTGAGTCTTCTCTTTTCCATGCTAAACATACCCAATGCCTTCCATTGATCATCATATGACATGGATTCCAGGCCTTTCACCATGCTTTTTGCCCTTCTCTGGATGCTTTAAAGCTTATTAATACCTATATTTCAACTGCAATGCCCAGAACTGAACGTAGCACTCCAGATTTCATCCATCAAGGTCAGAGGATCACAGAACTATCACCTCCTTATTCCTAGAAGCTACGACTCTCTTAGTGTGGCCCAAGGTGACAGTAGGCTTGTTGGCCACCATATTACACGGCCGTATTGAATTTTTAGTTCACTAATATCTTCAAATCTCTTTCAGAACAATTGCTGGCTTGCCCTACCTCCCCCATCTTTATCATTGAGAAATTGATGTCTTTTTGTACCCAAGTGTAGCCAAGTTTCACATTTATCTCTATTGAGTTTTATTTTGTTAGATTCAGCCCAATGCTCTAATCTGCCAGATCCTTTTGGAGCCTGATTCTGTCCTATAGCACATTAATTATCCCTCCCAACTTTGTGGCATCTGTAAATATGATAAATATTTCATCTATGTCTTCATCCAAGTCACTGATTTAAACATTAAACAATATACGGTCAAACACAGATCCCTGAAGTACTCCACTGGAGACCTCTTGCCAAGCGGACATTGAACAATTAACAACCGTTCTTTAGTCCAGCCATTGATCCAGTTCCAAATCCATGTAATTTTATTATTGACTAGTCCACATCACTCCATCTTCTCCACAAGAATAGAATTTAATATAGTAGCAAAGGCTTTGTTCAAATCTCAGTAAGCTCTATCTCTGATAATCCCTTTAGCTACTTAGGATCTTATTTTTAAAGAAGAAGAAATAAAGTTAGTCTAGGCTGATCTCTCTTTGGTGAATCCATGCTGACTCTTTATAATATTTGTATTATTTTTCATCTTTGTATTCCTGGCACCTAGTACTGAACCTTGCAGAGAGTAGGTGTTTAATGAGGCAGCTAGGTAGTACAGTAAATAGAGTTCTGGGCCTGTAGTGAGGGAAAACCTGAATTCAAATTCAGTCTTAGACACTTAACTAGCTGTGTGACCCTGGGCAAGTCACCTAATCTGCAAGATGTGGTTTCCTTAACTGTAAAATGGGGATAAGAACAGCACCTATCTCCCAGGGTTGTTATGAAGATCAAATGAGATACTTGCAAAGTGATTAGAACTGTCCCTGCCACATAGTAGGTGCTACATAAATGCCTATTTCTTTTCCTTTCCTAAAAGGGCAGAGAGTTGTAGTGGAAAGAACACTGAATTTAGAGTCAGAGGACCTAGGTTTGAATCCCAGGTCCACTATTTTCATGGGTGGGTTACAGTTTCTAAGTCTACAAAATGAGGGAGATGGGTGAGATGGTCCTTCTCCACCCCAAATCTTATGATTCTAATATGAATTGAATTAAATTGAATGCCAAATCCCACGCGAAATTGATTCCTGCCTTTCCTCTGTCTCTCTCTACCTCTCTCTCTGGCAAAACAAAACCCATCACCAGCCACTTCAACAAGACAGAGAATTCCCTGCACAGATTGGTGGTCACAGAGCTGGAAGATACTTGAGAGATCAATCAAGCCAACTTTCTCATTTTACAGCTGAGGAAACTGAGATTTAGAGTAATGAAATGACTTGCCCAGGGTCACACAGGCAGAAAATAGCACACAAAATTTGAGCCCAGGTCCTCTGTCTTCAAAACAGTGTTCTTTCAACTGCTCCAAGTAGCAGAGACATTAAACACATACAATATACTTAAAATGTAAATCCTAAGAGAGTCACAGGTTCAGTTGAAGCACAGGTACATTTGATTCATTCATGGGACATTCATTCTGCATCTATCTGGGGTGGAAAATTGTGCTAGGCTCTGAAAGAGACATCAAGTTTAAATCAAACACAATCTCTTACTTCTTCCCCAGAAGTCAGAGGCTCATAGATTTACAATTGAAAGGGATGTCAGAAATCGTCTAGTCTAACCTCCTTATTTTATAGCTGTGGAAACTGAGGCCCTGAGAAATTAAATGACTTGCCCAAAGTCATACAAATAGTTGATGAACTGTCAGGATTCAAATCCACAACATTTACTCCCAAATCCATTGCTTTTTCTACACCAATTCTCTGCTCAGAGTATCCCTAGTCCCCAGAAGGACTTCTAGAAAGAAAAATGGGTTGGCAAAGAACACATTCCCCTTCCAGCAAGAAACTTCTCTAGAGTCATGGAAACTTGCCTGCTCCCTGAAGATGTTAACAGAGATCATTTAAAAAAAACCCTGCAGACAGAGCTCATTCCCCAGCCAGCCAGCCCAATGCTCACACCCACCCATCCTAAATTGCTTGGCATTTTGCTAAGGAGATGTTTGCCTCACCGAATTCAGATTTCTGAATATCTCGACCCTTTCAACAGATGGTACTGTTATATACTTCTCTTCCACCCTCTACCTCTCTTAAAGAAACTAATTGAACCCTATTTCCTTTAAAAAAAAAAGGACCAGGGAACTGCTTGATCTGACTACCTCCTTTCCCCCACTTATTTAAGGAGATACTAATGGACAAGCAGGGTCATTTTCCCTGGCTACATAACCTATGCCCCAAAATTATAGAGAGCATTAGACACCTGTAAAACCCTAAGGAAAAACATAAAAAGATTATGGAATAACTCCATCCCACTAAGAAGGATGGGTTTGGACGGCAATGAATAAAATCAGCAGGTGGAGAAATGTGGGTGTCTTACCTCTAGCCCTAGACTGCTCCAAGCTGTCTCAGTGGCTTGCGCTGTGTAGCATCTGGGGAAGACTGGTCACTTTTATGCAGGTGGCTAAGAGGAAATGCCACAGAGGTGTGTTGGGTGGGCCTGCCCCTTGGAAAACTTGTTTTCTCCCCAGTTTTCTCAGCATCTCTTTCCTTGATTGTTTTCTTTTCTTCTCCTTTTTTTTTTTTTTTGAGACACCAACTGATTAATCATTATTAAGAAATTCCGCTCCTTCTTCTGGGTCTTGACATGTATTTTCTAAGGAAAATGAACTCTTGGTTCATATGCAAATGAGATTTTCTTGCAATTCTGCAACCAGAGTGAAAAAAATCTAAGTTAAATCACTCTTCTTTCTCTCGTGGCATGACACCAGCAGTGTCCTGCAGGCAAACTCCCATAACAGCCCTTGCCAAACACGTTCTTGTGCCAACCAGCTCCCGTGAAATTCACTGCTGGTGCAATCTGGCCCTGCTCAGCAGCCTCACATGGGATATATGTCTTTCTTGAGGAATACATGTGGATAGAAACTACAGTCTCACACCATCATAGAATGTTGAGCTAGAAAACACCCGCATGATCATCTAACTTAACTCCCAGATCCAGCATCCTCTCTCATACATTAGGCTACCTAAGGTTCCTTCCAGTTTGGGTTTGGTTTCAGCCCTGCTCCTTACTTACCAGTTAGGTGACCTTGAAAAAGTCACCTAACTACCTTGGGCTTCATCTTCCCCAATCTGTAAAATGAGAATATAGGACTATCTAGCTGTCAGGGGTGGGGAACCTTCAGCCTCATGGCCACATGTAGCTTTCTAGGTCTTCAGGTGTGGCCTTTTGACTGAGTCCAAGTTTTACAGGACAAATCCTTTTATTAAGGGGATTAAAGGGCCACACTTGAGGACCTAGAAGGTCACATATGACCTTGAAGCTGAAGGTTCCTCAGCCTTGAAGCCCTTCCAGAGCCAAATTCTATACTCCTATGACTTTAAGTGTGATGCTCTTTTCACTCTAACAGGCTGTGTGTATCTGCATGGTATGGTGGTGCAAGGGTTAAACTTAAAGCTGGGTGACCTAAGTTCAAATCCTACCTCAGACTCTTAGTAACTGTATGACCCAGACAAGGTATTTAAATTTTCTGAACCTCACTTTTCTCATCTAGAAAACAGAGTAAATAATAGCATTTACCACCAAGGGTTTTTTGTGAGGATCCGCTGAGATAATCCATGTAAAGGCGTTTTGCAAACCTAAGATAATGGATTTAGATCTGGAAGGAAGCTTAGAGGTTATCTAGTCTAACTCCCTCATTTTAGTGGTAGAGGCTGAAGCTTAGAGGAGTTGTGACTTACACAAGGTCATATAGTGAGAGAGGTATGATTTGAACCTGGGTCCTCTGCCTCCAAAGCCTGTGTTCTTTTCACAGTCATATAAATGTGATCTCTACAGTAGATCCCACCACCATACCCCTACTGTGACTAAATCGGACTAGGAAAAAAAGGAGTTTCATCTTTCAACTTAGCCAGAAGAGCCAGAGTAATATACAAGATCCCACAGGTCCAAGGAGGATCTACTGCTGTTAGCTGAAACAGAGAGGACACTGTTCCAAATGCATGTGTCACTTGAGCCTATAAAAAAGGAAAGGAAATCTCATTGGGAGTGGTATGGGACCTAGCTGTGACCCATCTAGGTATTATCTATGTAAGACAGGGTCACTTTCATTCTCTCCATTATAAAGAAAAGAGAAATGGAGACTATGAAAGGGGGAAAGGTTTAAATACAGCCACAACAGAGCTAGAAGCACCAGGCATCCTGACTCCTAGGCTGGGACCCCTTACCTATGCTGTTTCTCACTCACACAAATATCAAAACATTTTCAAATGGGCACAGCGTGCTGTCGCTGTTGTTGTTCAGTCATTTTTCAGTTGTGTCCCACTCTTCGTGACCCTGTTTGGGGTTTTCTTGGCAAAGATACTGGACTGGTTTGCCATTTCCTTCTCCAGTTCATTTTACAGATGAGGAAACTGAGGCCAACAGGGTTAAATGACTTTTTCAGGGTCACATAGTTATTAAGTGTCTGAGGCCAGATTGGAACTTGGAAAGATGAGCCTTCTTGGCTCCAGGTCCGACGCTCCATGCGCTGTGCTACCTAACTGCCCCTGGACTGAGTGTATCAGGCAGTGGATAACCACGGAGGTATTTATTCACAATATGACAATCATCCCGATCTAGCAACCCCCTCCACCAGGAGATAAAGAAGTGAATAAGAAGTTGGATTTTTATCAAATAAATAAGCCCTGTGGATAGATTAACAGAGGGAACCGCCTCCCCCCAGCTTCTCCTGAAGTGATAATATAAAGCAGACCTGCACAACCTGGCACAGATAGATATTTAGCAGCTCACTTTCCAAGTAAAAGTATAATTAATGATTAAACTACTTTGCAAACAAACCATATTTTAAAAAGGGAAATTTCAATTAATATCGATTACTTATGATTTTTATTTATCATGAAATCACACTGGTGTTTAAAAAAATTACTTTGCTGCACTCACTTTGTCCCTGTTCAATGCAGCAATGACCTATAACATAGCTAAAAGATACAACTCTTGCTCCCCTCAGACTAGAAACAGACTGAGGATGGTTGGTTGCCATGGATCACGTGACAAACAGGAGAGAGTGCACCGTGGCAACCCGCCTACCAAGTTACATATCGGGCACAGTAGTGACTAGTGGAAGGCAGGTTAAGCGGGGCATAGACAAAGCACTCATTACATCTTTACATGTTTCTTAGGCCACCTGAGATCCTTTGGCAGGTGGCAAGCGGCCCACGGGCCATATGTTATGCAGGCCTGATATAAAGGGTAAATGACTGGGTAGCAGGTTGGCATAAAGTATAGTAGAGTTTGAGGCTTAGAGTCAAATCTGAATCCTGGTTCTGACATATACTAGCTGTATGACCTTGGGTGCTTTAAGGCTCAGGTTCCATATCTGTAAAATGGAGATAATGATTCTACTAGCTAATTCACAGAGTGATTATGAAGAAAGTACTCTGTAGACCATAAAATACTATAGAAATGTGAGTTAATATAGTCTATAGTATATGTGGCAAAAATATAAAGGAAAAGAATTTTTAGCATCACGATGGTTGGGGTTCTGAGACAGGTGAGTGAACAGAGATGGTAAAGAAACCATGACATCAAACTTGGAAGGGAACTCAGTGTTCATCTAGTCCAATTCATAGCAAAACAGTGGCTAGTGTCCATCCCTCTATCCCATTGACCCTTGGGTCTTTCTCTAAACACTTGAGCTTCACTCCTTCTACCTTTGGAACCCTGAAGCCCCAGGAAATAGATCCTAGAGGTGTCGCTAACTAAGTCTCTGCTGATGGATTTAACCAGCCTGGTCAAGCAGACTTCCTAACAAGCCCACTGGTGAAAGGTCCCTCACCCAGGGCTCAGGGGAGGCCATTCATCTGAGCTTCTCAGGGGTTGACCTTTGGACAGCCATCACTTCCCTCCCCATCCCTATCCTGCTTGCAAAAGGAAGGAGGAAATGCCGTTTTTGAAAGGTTGTCAAGTAGGGGTTCAGAAAAGGAAGGCTTCAGTAGAAAGCAGATTGAGAGAACTCTGGTCGGAATAACTAGGACTAAAACAAAGGGTAATGGGGCAGAAGGGCAGCAAAAGAAAAATGTTAAAAGTAAGCAAGGATGGGGGTACTGAGGTCTTTCTGAATGAGACAGAGATCTAAATTCCTCCTGGGTAGGGTTGGTTGGTTCCTTTTGTCATCACAGCAGAAGAAGCTTAGAGCTTATCTGGTTCAACTCCATCATTGTACACATATGGAAAGCTTATATAACCAGTAAGTATTGGGGCTGAGAGTCCAAACAAGGTCTTCTGACTACAAAACCAATGCTCTTTCTCCTACACTATGGAATCTGGAATATCTATGCCCAGCCCAAGGGCAGAAAAAGGACTCCCAAGCAGGGGAGGATGGATAGCTGTGGTGGAGAAACATCAAGATTTTTCCCTGTTAGGTTCAAGAAAACAGTAATAGTCAGAGCTTCTGAACTTTCTGGCTGTCCAATGATCCGACAGAGTATCTCTCCCCACCCCCAAGACCTGACTCTTTCCAACTTCCCCATTACTGTTTAAGGAACCACCATTCTCCTAGGGTCATCTTCTCCTCACTTGGATTCACCCCATATTTCCAATCTACTGCCAAATCTATTTTCTACCTTTGTGATATCTCTCCAATTATGACCCTTTCTCTCCACTGACATGGTCACCACCCTGGTCTAATCCCTTATCACCCCTTAAATGGACTGTTACATTAGCCTTCTAACTGGTCTTCCTGACCCATCTCTCTCTCCACTCCAGTCCATCCTCCATTCAGCTGCTAACGTAATCTTTTGAAAGCACGGGTCTAACTATGTCACTTCCCTTCTGAGTAAATTCTAGTGGCTTCCTATTACCTCTAGGATTAAATTCATATAAGGAGCCAAAAGTCTTCATGAAGCTTTAGAGACACCTTACAAAATTCTGTTTGACATTTAAAACTCTTCACAATCTGGTCCCTTCCAACCTTTCCAGTCTTCCAACACTCTACTCTTCCTGACATACTCTATAATCCAGTAATCCTGGCTTTCTTATTCTTCCCACACAACACTCTGTCTCCCAACTCCATGACTTTTCACTGGCTACCCCCCTACACCCTAAAATTCTCTCTTCTCACCTCTTCCTCCTGTCTCCCAGCCTCCTTCAAGACCCAATCCTACAATCAAACTCAAACCCTGAAAAAGGCCTTTCCCAGTGTCCATTCGCTTCCCCAGAACTAATCCCCAAGGATTCTCTGAGAATCTTTCTCTTGCGGATTCTCTTCATTTACCCTTTCTATATCTTGTATGTACAGTTATTTGTATGTTTTCTCCTCCATTAGGACTGAAAATAGGGACTGTGGTTTTTTCATCTCTTTGTATCCCAAGCACTTAGCACTGTGCCAGGCACATAGTAAATGCTT